GTATATGTATATATAATAATTATGATTTATAAATAATCTCAAACAACTCATTGATTAATATAACTTTTTCACAAAACATTGCGATTCTTGCACACAAAAATAAACTTTACATTTTTTTTGGAAATAAGAAAAACGTGATGAGAGAGGTGATTATTCATGCAAGGAACATGTTGCCATATCCTATATAAGAGCAATTAGGGAGAGAAATCTTAAAAATAAAGCATTCAATTTTGAGATATTTTGCTTCTTGAAATCACTTTCGAATACACAAAATTCAAGAGATATAATATATCGATTAATTCTCTGTATAACACGAATGTTTGAAACACCGATTAAGAAAATAATATCTGAGATATTTCTTATCAACGACATTCTAGTTTAAAAACAAACAATAATTATCACACTTTTTCTACACTGATTCGAGAACATTAATCAGCTTCTTTTGTATCAGAAGACGTAATCTTCCGGTTGCTGCTTCTCCGATATAACTGGAATATTGATTTATCTGAACATTGACCAACATCGCTCGGGATATGAATCCACCGATACCAATGTTACCAAAATCACACCTTTGTTGTCCCCTTATCAAAGTCCTACCTGCACCACAGGAACCTCCGCAACCAACCAGCCAGATGAGAGACTACATCCCTACCCCACCAGCTGTTTGGCAGCGTCTGCTCGCGCCGAAGCGGGGCGGCGAGCGTTAAAATAAACGCGCTTGCGCCCAGCAAAAGGGCGAAGTGAGGGTGGAAATGACGACCAATGAACGTCGGATGAGCGGCGGCTGCCCGGGCGGAGCATACGGCATAAACGAGACGTGGCACGAGCAGCTTCTGCCAAACGGCGTTCAACGGCCGAGGGAGAAACACGAGGAAGAGGTGTCATCCGAGGCGATCCTAAAGAGGAATCCTCGTAAGAAGTTCAGCGTTTCTTCCATCAGTGGTAGCGTCTTCGTGGCTAATTACTCTCGAAGGTGCCTCGGCCCGCACCGAAAGTTCGTGCGAACGTTTCCATCCGGACGCTATGGAAACACGAAGCGAGAAGCAAAAGATGCAATACGAATTTTGAAGAAATCCAGCAAGGGACAGGAGGAAGCACGTGGAAATGCTGCACGGCGCTCTACCGAGGGCCTTCCTGGCCCCAGGTCTTAGCTATATGAGCTATTATAGCGAAGACATTCATCATCCAGCCTACGTAGCACCGCCGACCACGTGGCACATTCCGATGGACGATCCGTCCTCGCCGATCTACTCGCGGATTCCACCAGCCGAGCATCACGCGTCTTTGCAGTCCTGGGAGTCTTCGAGATCCTCAACGCCGTGCCCCTTGGATCTATCTTTGAAACCGCCACCAACGCCGAACACTCCGAAGACGGAAGAGATGATCGAGGTGGGTGATGAAAAAGATCTCAGAATCCGCGAGGAAATCCAAGCTCGTCCTGAAAGAGATAGCGAGGAAGATCAACAGCTGGTTATCGACGACTTGGACACTTTACGCAGCTCTTCGGCGCAAAGTCATCAAAGTCAGTACGAACGTTTGATGCTTAATAAAGAATCGTCTCGCTTCCACGACTCGATAGTCGACAAGATCCACCATCTTCCCGAAGAGAGCACTCGACTATCGCCGTATCCCGGAAATGAACTCGCCTCGAAGTACCAGCTGCACAATCAGAAGCTCCTTCTAACGAGTCCGACACACATGCAATCAATGCAGAGTTATCATCAGCAATTTCTTTTAACGCCGCAGCAACATCTTCAGAGCGTGCACGCACCTATGACGCCACCCAGCACACCATCGCCGCCTCAGTGTCCCAGGAGGAGAGTCCGAGAAGAAGATCTCATTTCACCGTCTTCCGGATCCGCCTCCATGTCAACCCCGAAACAGACCAACAACGAAAAGACCGCCGCCCAAAGGCCTAAGAAGAAACACGCCAGACGGCTCAAATTCGACGAGGATACGAGCAGTCCGGTATCAGGCACTGTGATCCTAGGCCCGGACGAAGCAGTAGTGACCGGCGACATCGATCCCGCCTTCAATATCGTCGAGGTCACGGAGGAAGCGCGTGCTGAATTGGCCAAGATCGAGAATCGGCTCGGACCATACCAGTGCAAGCTTTGCCGACAGCTTCACGAGGACGCCTTCCAGCTAGCGCAGCATCGTTGTTCCCGAATCGCCCACGTGGAGTATCGTTGCCCCGAGTGCGACAAGCGGTTCTCTTGCCCGGCTAATTTAGCGTCTCATCGACGTTGGCACAAGCCCAGATTGCCTAACACTGACAATTCCGCGTCGTCCGCGACGTCGTCGCCCTCTTCGTCATCATCTTCGTCATCGGGGACCAGCACGGAGATTCCTTGCACCAGATGCGAGGCTAAATTCACCAGGCAAGCCGCCCTGCGGAAACACCTGGCCACTCAGCATCCAGAAACCAACAACAACGTCAGTAACAGCAATAATAATAATACTGTTATCGATGGCCAGGAAACTATCGGCAAATCAGACATCGCTCAGACAGCAGCGACCAGCCAGGTGACCAACGAGATGACCTGACATCAATTTCCGGCGAGACCCCTGCCGAGACGACCCGGACTATACTGGAGATTCGGTCTTGATTTGTAAGAGACACGGCTTTCGTAACTGTGAGTACACAATCAAAACGCTCCGCATGCTCGTTCTAATAATAAAAAAAAATAATGAAGAGAAAAAAGGGAAATATAAAAAAAAAATAAATGTGAAAAGGAGAAAGAGTATTATTGTTATTGTTATTAAAAAGGGATACTTAATTTCTATAATTGTACTGTTAATTTTATTTTGTTATATCTGTAATTATTTAATTCCTAGTCATATACATAGCACACAAAATTTCTAATCTTTTTATATTTCTAATCTGTTTACACAAATTTTTTTCTAGTTTAATTTCTAAAAATTGTTTTATTTAAATAATGTATAATTATATTTTATTTTTAGTTAACACAATTTGTGATTTTTTTGTATTTCTAATTTATATGTAGAAAACTTTCTTTAGGCAAATGTTCAAAGATAGTTTTTATTTTATTTTAATAGATTTCTAATCAAACAAATTTAGTTTTTAGTAATTTAATTCCCCTAGTTAATTTCAAAGTTTTTTATATTTCTAGTCTTATTGCACACAAAACCTTCTCTAGTCAAATTTCCAAAAAATGGTTTTATTTTATTTTATTAAACTTCTAATTCTGTTTCTAATTATTCAATTTAACAATTTTCAATTATTTAATTTTAGTTATTCCTATCAATTGCTAATTTGTATATTTTTAAATCTTTTTGCATAACAATTTCTTTAATTAAATTTTCAAAGATTATTTTATCAAATTTTTTATTATCAAATTTTTATTCATTTAATTTATATCCAGTCAATTTCTAATGTTTATATATGTCTAGTCTTTGCATAAAATTTTCTCTAGTCAAACTTCCAAAAATTATTTTGTTTTATTTTATGAAATTTTTAATCAATTTGTAAACTGTTCATTATATATATATAAAAGAAAAGAAACTTCAGAAATAGAACTTTGATTGATAACATGTTAAAGATCAGGAGGAGGAAGAGATAAACTGATTAAAGAAATCAAGTATCCCTTCGTATAAGTTCTAACCGTCTAGTTTAGTCATTTGTAGTCGTATTAGTGATGCGCTAATAACGCATACTATTTGATTGAAGAAATTAAAACCCAAATTCCGAAATTACCATACGTGTAATTGTATGCGTTAATCTTGTTCTTAAAAATATGATCATTATTATATTTCACTCACGGAATTTACCGGGATAAACAGGGTTCCACATTACCGTTGTACGTATATCAAATATAAATTTGTATATATGAATTATATATTATAGTTGACATGCGAAAAGAATTGAGAGATAAGTATCGCCGATAAAGTATATATAGATTCCATTCCCGTGTATTGTTGAGATCGTAGTATACGACCTAAGATAACATATTAGTAATTAAAAAAAAAATTAATTGGAGGCGGTCAAAATTTGAAAAAAATTTCAAAAAAAAAAATACGGAAGAGTCATATTTCTCTCATAATATACTAACGCAAATGTTTAATACATTTCTTGTGATTGGATAATTATTACAGTTATATGTGACTTCTGATTATTTCATGATTTATGTTTTATGTAATTATTATTTTGTTATATTATTATTAGATATAATAATTTTATTAAGATATAATAAAAATGTATTGGAATTCACTTTCAAAATTAATAGTAATATATAATTTACATTATGTTAATGTACGAGACATTATATAACTTGCCAATTATAAATATTTAGAAAAAAATAATGAAGTCACGTCAGTTGTTAGATATGTATTAAACATGAACGTGTCGCATTACTTTGCCATTGGATACAGAAGCTATAAGATTCGAGATTATCGAGTGCACACTATTGCCAAAACATAGAAATTACGGAGATCAAAGATCTTTGATCATCTCTAGTCATGTCTAGTCAAATAATTAACTTTTAGTCATAGAATTGTGCTATGTAATTAAAAGAAAATTTTAACGGGATATAAATTCTCTGTAAATTTATGTAAAATTTTGCCGATGTAATTGCGCGAATAAATAACAGTTGATACTTCGCGTGATATAAATCTGTATATAGCATGCGCGATGTATATATAATGAAGCGCAATTAGGCTAAGTGATAGAGACTATCTGACATGACGATCTCAATTTGTCTAGCGTTAAGTCTGCGAGCAGACTTACCACCGATTAAACAAATTTGTTACATCTCTTAAGGCAGATCTAGATCAAGAGAACGAGTACGAACGATTACAAATGAATATCAGCGAATGAGCGTGTGAGAAAAGGAATTATTTTAATTTTTTTTTATAAAATATTTTTTTATAATGTATATTTTTATAATGTTTTATACAATAATTTTTTATTCAGCATAACATAATTTTTATAAGATTATATTAATTAAATAACGCTTCTTCACTGATATTCGTAATCATTTGTCGGCAAATCAGACATCGCTCAGACAGCAGCGACCAGCCAGGTGACCAACGAGATGACCTGACATCAATTTCCGGCGAGACCCCTGCCGAGACGACCCGGACTATACTGGAGATTCGGTCTTGATTTGTAAGAGACACGGCTTTCGTAACTGTGAGTACACAATCAAAACGCTCCGCATGCTCGTTCTAATAATAAAAAAAAATAATGAAGAGAAAAAAGGGAAATATAAAAAAAAAATAAATGTGAAAAGGAGAAAGAGTATTATTGTTATTGTTATTAAAAAGGGATACTTAATTTCTATAATTGTGCTGTTAATTTTATTTTGTTATATCTGTAATTATTTAATTCCTAGTCATATACATAGCACACAAAATTTCTAATCTTTTTATATTTCTAATCTGTTTACACAAATTTTTTTCTAGTTTAATTTCTAAAAATTGTTTTATTTAAATAATGTATAATTATATTTTATTTTTAGTTAACACAATTTGTGATTTTTTTGTATTTCTAATTTATATGTAGAAAACTTTCTTTAGGCAAATGTTCAAAGATAGTTTTTATTTTATTTTAATAGATTTCTAATCAAACAAATTTAGTTTTTAGTAATTTAATTCCCCTAGTTAATTTCAAAGTTTTTTATATTTCTAGTCTTATTGCACACAAAACCTTCTCTAGTCAAATTTCCAAAAAATGGTTTTATTTTATTTTATTAAACTTCTAATTCTGTTTCTAATTATTCAATTTAACAATTTTCAATTATTTAATTTTAGTTATTCCTATCAATTGCTAATTTGTATATTTTTAAATCTTTTTGCATAACAATTTCTTTAATTAAATTTTCAAAGATTATTTTATCAAATTTTTTATTATCAAATTTTTATTCATTTAATTTATATCCAGTCAATTTCTAATGTTTATATATGTCTAGTCTTTGCATAAAATTTTCTCTAGTCAAACTTCCAAAAATTATTTTGTTTTATTTTATGAAATTTTTAATCAATTTGTAAACTGTTCATTATATATATATAAAAGAAAAGAAACTTCAGAAATAGAACTTTGATTGATAACATGTTAAAGATCAGGAGGAGGAAGAGATAAACTGATTAAAGAAATCAAGTATCCCTTCGTATAAGTTCTAACCGTCTAGTTTAGTCATTTGTAGTCGTATTAGTGATGCGCTAATAACGCATACTATTTGATTGAAGAAATTAAAACCCAAATTCCGAAATTACCATACGTGTAATTGTATGCGTTAATCTTGTTCTTAAAAATATGATCATTATTATATTTCACTCACGGAATTTACCGGGATAAACAGGGTTCCACATTACCGTTGTACGTATATCAAATATAAATTTGTATATATGAATTATATATTATAGTTGACATGCGAAAAGAATTGAGAGATAAGTATCGCCGATAAAGTATATATAGATTCCATTCCCGTGTATTGTTGAGATCGTAGTATACGACCTAAGATAACATATTAGTAATTAAAAAAAAAATTAATTGGAGGCGGTCAAAATTTGAAAAAAATTTCAAAAAAAAAAATACGGAAGAGTCATATTTCTCTCATAATATACTAACGCAAATGTTTAATACATTTCTTGTGATTGGATAATTATTACAGTTATATGTGACTTCTGATTATTTCATGATTTATGTTTTATGTAATTATTATTTTGTTATATTATTATTAGATATAATAATTTTATTAAGATATAATAAAAATGTATTGGAATTCACTTTCAAAATTAATAGTAATATATAATTTACATTATGTTAATGTACGAGACATTATATAACTTGCCAATTATAAATATTTAGAAAAACATAATGAAGTCACGTCAGTTGTTAGATATGTATTAAACATGAACGTGTCGCATTACTTTGCCATTGGATACAGAAGCTATAAGATTCGAGATTATCGAGTGCACACTATTGCCAAAACATAGAAATTACGGAGATCAAAGATCTTTGATCATCTCTAGTCATGTCTAGTCAAATAATTAACTTTTAGTCATAGAATTGTGCTATGTAATTAAAAGAAAATTTTAACGGGATATAAATTCTCTGTAAATTTATGTAAAATTTTGCCGATGTAATTGCGCGAATAAATAACAGTTGATACTTCGCGTGATATAAATCTGTATATAGCATGCGCGATGTATATATAATGAAGCGCAATTAGGCTAAGTGATAGAGACTATCTGACATGACGATCTCAATTTGTCTAGCGTTAAGTCTGCGAGCAGACTTACCACCGATTAAACAAATTTGTTACATCTCTTAAGGCAGATCTAGATCAAGAGAACGAGTACGAACGATTACAAATGAATATCAGCGAATGAGCGTGTGAGAAAAGGAATTATTTTAATTTTTTTTTATAAAATATTTTTTTATAATGTATATTTTTATAATGTTTTATACAATAATTTTTTATTCAGCATAACATAATTTTTATAAGATTATATTAATTAAATAACGCTTCTTCACTGATATTCGTAATCATTTGTATTCGTTCGCTTGGCCTGGATCCGGCTTTAAAAAAGTTTATTTCGCTGAAATATTTAATTATATTATCATTATTAATTGTATTGTATGTAATAAAATATAATTATTTATAATTTATTATTATATTTATATAACATATTATCTCTATTATAATATATTATGTAAATTTATATTTTTTATAGAAATTAACTTTTATTAATTAATGATCAAAAATATATCAATGCCATTTTACATATCCAGTTTAATTCACCTAAAAACATAAAATCGTAATTTCAATAAAATTCATGCATAATTGCACAATAATTGTACACACATATAATAACAAAAAAATTAAATAATATTTGTCGATCAAACTATATAATGTATGATTTTTTCTTTTTCGAATTTCATTACATAATACGTTAGCGATGAGCGGCGTGCTTTGAGATGATAGTATTTGGATTTATGGAGTCATTCATTATAATCGATCATTAATCTTAGATTTAACACACCCCCCGATCGTAGAGATCGTATTCTCATACAGCTAAAATCAAAGATAGTATTAAGATGTTTGAAACCTTTATGATATAAAAACTAAGATAAGATACATAATAGTTATATTATATAAAAACTGAAATTAATGTGAACACATGAATGCATTTGAACAATCGATAAGCCGTATATATATATACATGTATATCTGTTTCTCAGAAGTATCAGACCCATTCTTCAACCATAGGAACCGATCTAATTGTATTTAGTTGTAGGAGATAATAGTGTTAGAAACGAACTTGGAAGTCATCGTTATATCCTAAAGATACGACCACATCTAGTCAATGTAGTCAATCATACGTTACTTTTAATCATTATAATAGAGATTCTTATTAATTTTATAATAATAATATAATTTAATCGCGCACTCGCGCATATATAAAATTTTTTGTTTAAATTATCTTTTGAGTTTTGCATTATCATTTGTTCTATTAATTTAGAACGAAAGAGTGCTTTCTAGTCATGATCTTTAAGACGACAGATACGAAGAAGGAGTATTCAATTAGTATGCACATAATCTAGTCAGAATCTAATGCGAAACATAATCTAGTTCGTTGTAGTGAATGTACACTTGAGAAAACTTAAACAGTTGTATAGACGTTATTTCCTGAGAAACTCATCTGTATATGTGTGTTTAGGTATAATATTACAGCCACTTATCTAGTTTAACAATTTTCAATCATTGTACATCGATAAACAATTATGCGGATTAACGAAGAGCGATTAATTTTATTTCGGGCAAATGCAATTTTAATTTTAAAATTAAGTTAAAATGTACGATCAACCCCAGATTTTTATCATTTCGTATGTCAGTTACAATAAATTTATTCACAATATACACACATATGCATACATCTAGTTGTAGAATTATGCAAAAATACAATGTTGCATCTCGACCTATATCTAATTCGTAGTCTCGTAAGAATGTAATATTAAATATATGTCGTATACGCTCTATATGTATAATTATCCAGAAATAATATTATATATGTATTATTCAGGATAAGCGAGAAAGATTGACACATACATCCTTAAGGCATTGATTCGAGTGTTTCTCGTAATTGTATATAAAACAAACACATATACGCAAATATGTATGTATAAAAATGTATGATATCGCCCTTGCGACAAATCTCGATTTACATGTATTACTTTGCGATAGATTAATTTGCGGATGCGTTACGCTGATCATATCTGTACATAACGTTTTGACTTCTAAAATACATGTCTCTCAAAAAAATATAAACCTACGTTTTATTCATTCCGACAACCAATATCTATGTTGCTTTTAGATTAATACATATAAAAAAAAATCAAAATTTCATAAATATTATATGACACTTATTAAAAAGATGCTTTTATATTAATGATATTAATCTAGCAATATACTATAAAGTAATAAATTAAATAATATTTATATTTTATTTTGCATGTATCTTTTAAAATTAAAAAAAAAAAAAAATATTTATTAAAATCTCTTCAGAAAATTTCCAAAACAAATTAATTTTAAGCTATGCTTTTTATAATAATAATTTTGCTTTATTTGCCGACACGTTATTCCGAATTATAATTTGTAAACCGATAATATAGTATAATATCGCAAAAAACATAGTCTTATTTACTTCTTCAACGGGGATTTCTCGCGGCATCGAAATCACGTTACCGTCACGATCGTCGCGGTTACATAACGATCCAGGGAGAACGACAAAGATAGAAGAAAAAAAAGCTATAAAGATCTTCAGTTATAAGAGAGGCACAGTATTGTCCAGGGATGAGATGCCCTTCCATATTACTTCACTATGTGTCGCCATAATGCCCCTAGAATCCATACAGGAGGGGATTGGCGGTCCTGTAATCTTCGCGGAACCTTTGTGTGCCGGTCGAATAAAGAGACGTGTCGCGACCCCCCTATGGAAAAAAAAGAGAGAGAAAGAGAAGAAAAGCTTTAAACCTAAGAGGCTGATTTCTCCTCGAGATCCTCCGCAACTATTCGTTAATAAGTTCCACATCCATTTCATAAATGTATAAATTCTCTCGTCTTACAAACCAAACGCGGCTAGTTAACTCATCAAGGGAGAGGTAAAGAATTAGATAAATATCTTGACGACACATAGGAGAGTGGAGATGATTGATCGACGTATAATTAAAATAATATATCTTAATAAAGTTAAGTCTTATTTAAAAAAAAAAATTAGTTATTTTTCTATATATTTATAATATATCATCCATCATGTG